CCCCTTGGCGAGGTCCCGATACATGCTGTTGCGCACACGGGCGATTGGTGCGCACCCCTAGTCGGTGCACGCCGCGGGCGCCGGTACCGCTACCCTCCCGCCCGAACTCCCCCCCCTCGGGTAACGACCGTTGCCCGGGGACGAAGAAGAACGGTCACGTGGAGCTGCTGAGCTCGCCTCGAGCTCCTGAGGAGCTTCTGGGAAGCTTCCCCGGAGCTTTCCCAGAGCTTCTGTGGAGCCTCCCTGAAGTTTCTGAGGATTTTCAGGGGAGCTATTGGGGAGCTTCCCAGAAGCTTCTGAGGATCTTCCCAGAAGCTCCCGAGGAGCTTCCCAGAAGCTTCTGAGGAGCTTCCCAGGAGCTTCTGCTGAGCTTCCCGAAGCCTCTGGGAAGCCTCTGGGAAGCCTCTGGGAAGCCTCTGAGAAGCCTCTGTAAAGCCTCTGGAAAACCTGCGAGAACCCTCGCGGACTTCTCTGGAAAGCCTCGGAGAAGCCTCGAGGCGGGAAAGCCTCGGAGAAGCCTCGAGGCGGGAAACCTCCGAGGGACGTCCGAGGCTTCCCAAAGGCTCCTCGGAAGCTTCTGGCAAGCCTTTGAGATGCCTCCCGAGAAGTTTTTGCAAAGCGTCTGGGAAGTCTGGGGGGAGCCTCCGAGAACACTTTTGGAGTCCTTAGTGCGAGTCGATATGATTTGTCAATCATGGGCATTATTGCGTGTTCTTCTGGCTTCTCTCTCATATTGTTTGGTTTCCTACGGTGTTCTTGGATGTTCCTGGTGATTATTGGGAATCCTCTCGTACTCTTGGGTGCCCTTGTGGTTCAACGTGTATCATCGGGCGTTCTTGAAGATCCTTGAGTTTGACAGGGTATTACTTCAAGTTTGTTGATATCACTGGATATTCATTCGGTTTTCTTGGGCATTCCATTTCGGAGGAGGGGCAGGAGGTGGACGAGGAGAAGGCGGAGGAGGAGGAGGAGGAGGAGGAGGAGGTGGATGATGAACAGGAAGTAGGGGAAGGGACATGAGTGGGGGGTACGAGGAGATACCAGGATGTAGGACGAGGTACGAGGATGCAGGACGAGCGAGGTAGGGGGATGTACGATGAGGTAGGGGGAGGAGGCGGACGAGAGAAGAGAAAGAGGAGGAGGAGGAGGAGGAGGAGGAGGAAGAGGAGGGGGATCGACGGGTGCAAGGTATCCGCGTCGCATGCACTCTGCTGGCCTGTGTGCCAGGACCCGCAGCGGAGAATGCCTTACATCGGCAGAAGGACGTTGCGATGCCATGCATATGATGGGCACAGGTAGCAGCGGGCGATGTAGCGAGCCGTCTGTGATCGGCCCGATCGCAACTGTGTTTGTTCCAAAGTTCGTCTCCAGAGCATCCAGAAACGCTCTTGAGAGCCTTCTTTTCATCAGCACAGTACCACAGCTTTCCCAAAACAGCGCAACCAGTTCGGCCCAATCACAGCTGGTTGTGAGCGGTCCGAAGTGGTCGACGGTCGGACCTGAGTGGCTGCGATCGGACCCGATCGCGCCCCCAGGGGCGGCGGCACTCACACGCAGATGCTCTCAGGCCTCTCACACTCACAGTCACACTCAGATACTCAGATCACTCACACTCAAACACACTCAGACCCCTCGCGCTCACACCCACACTCAGATTACTCACACTCACTCACACTGATCAACGCGCGCAGGCTCACTCATACTCAGACTCACTCGCATTCAGTCTCAATTACATCACCTGTTCCCAGGTTATCATACTACTCAAACCCTGTAGTGTTTAGACTGTATCCCACGCAGACACTCGCAGCGGGAGATGTGTGGGCCAATAGATTCACATATGTGGGTCTCCACGTCGATTATGCTTTATGACAAGAACCTCCTTGCAGCTATCCGGAACGCATAGCTGCATAGCCAAAGCCGGGAAAGTATGACCTCTGCATGGCAAGGACGTGTCCCAACAAGCTACGTGCTGCACAAATCCGCGCAAGAGAGGCTGGCTGGAACCGGCATTGAGGCGCCCCTCGTGCCAAACGGGTGACCGATAGACGATCGGATGAATCACAAGGCCCGTCAGACAGGGCTGCAAACGCAAAGGGCAAGCGTTGAAGACAAGAAAACGAATGAACATAAACTTTTGGCAATCCGATCGAATTCCTTGGATCTGCGCTGGCCCCTTCCTCCCAGGCGCGCGGAGCGCGCCAGGGGCGGCGCTGGAGGCGCCGCCGGGGGGAGCCCAGCGCAAATCCAAGAAATCCGCGCGGAGCCTTAAACATTCAGGTTTATGACGTTTTTTATTGTTCCAAAGCGGGCAGCGTGGTTGCCAAAACCGGCTCTCACGCTTATCGGCTCTCACGCGCATCGTCTGCTCATGGACAAGCGCGTCCCACGGCTCGCAAAGGAGCTACTCTTAGGTCGGGCATGTCCTCCTACAGGCGGAGCTTGGAAGCAGGATGAAACATGATCAAAACATGAGCAGAAACAACCAAGAGAGCACGAAAAAAACGTCCCCTGCCAATGTTTTGGCATGAATATTCCTCCTGTAGAGGGACCTTTACACTAATCGTGAATGGCAAAATAATCATTGAAATCGACTTTGGAAGAAGAATGACAATAGTCAGAAAACAAACAACCAAACATTTTATTATTTTGAATAAATAAACAAATATATATATATATATAACAAAAAACGAACAACGAACAATCGTCCCCAGACTATGTGTTGGCTATTCTGGAATATTCCTCCCGTGGAGGGACATGCCCGACATCAAAACTACAGTCGGACTCGATTGGACAGGACACGCGAGAGGACACAAGACCCTTCCGAGGGCCACATTGCCACAGGAATGTAGGAAGCATGGGTCGTGAGATACGGGACACAAGGGTACCCTTGACTTGCCAGGGTCGACCTACTAGTCTGGGCCGACTGTACGCGCAACTGGGCCTGGATCCGCCGCGGGGGCCTCCACACGAGCCGCCCCCCCCCCCCCCGCGGTGCGCGAGGCGCGCGCGCCTTCTCTCCGCGCCCCCGCGCGGCCCCCCTTTGGAGAAGGGCCGCCGTTCTTAGGCCAGCGCGCTTCGCTGCTCGCGAAGTCACGAATCGCAAAGGGCTCGTCGCCGGAGTGACCTCTGGCGCGGGCAGCCCGGGGCCCAACGGTGCGCGAGGCGCGCGATTCTCTTCGCGCCCTCGCGCGGCCCCCTCTTGGAGAAGGGCAGCCGCTCTTAGAGGCGGCCACAGGCGAGCCCTGCCCCCCCCTCCCAACGGATTCTAGGGGTGAGGGCGTGGTTCACTTCGCTCGGGAGCTCCCGAGCGAAGCGAACCCCACCCTCTCCCTCAGAGATCGTGGGGGGGGGGGTAGAGTTCGCATGTGGCCGCCGCCCTTAGACAAGCGCGTTCCACTACTCGCAGAGCGACTGATCGCAAAGGGCCCTTCGCCGGAGTGACCTCTGGTGCGGGCTCACCGGGGCCCCCCCGATCGCTCGGCGCGATGCGGTAGCGGCTGCCTGCGCGCTTGGAGTTGGCTGCCTTCAACACTTTTGCCCAGGGCCACTCCTGCGCGCAGCCGATCTCACTCGCCGCCGAGCGTGGCCGAGCGAGGTGGCCGCCTGCCGCCGAGCGTGGCGAGCGTGGATCCGCCGCGGGGGATGCACGATCCACTTACGTCGAGGCGCGAACGATGACATACACATAGGGGAACGGACAGTGACATAAAGAGGGCAAACAACTCACGATCGATTCACGTCGAGGCAAACATAGGGGAACGAACAATGACGTAAACATCAAAACTCGAAGAGATCCGCGCAGACTTCTCGGGTCGGCGCTGGGGCCCCCTGGAGGCGCCTCCGGCGCCGCCCCTGGCGCGCTCCGCGCGCCAGGGAGGGGGTCCAGCGCGGATGCAAGAGATCCGCGCGGACCTCCGAGCGGTTCGGCTTATTCTCCAAATAGGCTTGCCCAATTGGAGTCCTAGCCCAAACCCTACTAATTGGTCCGCTGCCCCCCTCCCTAATTCCTATGCGCCCCCCCCCTGATTCCTATGGCTATGGCTATGGCTATGGCTATGCCTATGCCTATGCCTATGCCTCCCCCCTAACTCCTATGCCTACGCCCATGCATATGCCTGCTTGCACGCTTGCTTGCTTGCACGCTTGCTTGCACGCTTGCTTGCTTGCTTGCTTGTTTTGTTGGTTTGCGAGACTGCTTGCTTGCGCGCTTGTTAGCACGCTTGCTTGCTTGCCGAGTTGCGGAGTCCAAGCATGCTTGACTCCTCTGATTCCTCGATTTGAGTCGTCGAATCTATTTGGAGTCAACGCTGCAACGCTGGCGGCTGTGTCACTCTTCGCTCCCCTCAAGCATGCAACTTTTACTTTCTGACGCCTGCGAGTGGGCACTCTGCGAGCAGCGGAGCGCGCTCGGCGGGCTCCGGCCTGGGCCGCGACACAAGCGGCGCGGTGCCCGTCGCGCTCCCGCGGGCGACCTGTAGCTGGCCGAGGCGCCCGCTCGGGGCCTCCTGCCAGGCTCAGGTCGGGCATGTCCTCCAGCAGGCGGACGTTGGACTGGACGTACAAGATTATCAAATTATCCCAGTGCGACCCTACCTAGGAGTTGGAGGATCTAGGAAAGCAACATCTAACACTTATATGAAGCTAAGCAAAACTAAGATGAAGCCAAGCGAAGACGGAATAAGCTGAGCTAAGATGAGATAAGCAGCGCGAAGCGAAGGGAACGTCACTGGGAGAACCGCGGGGCGGATGCCGGGGGAACCGCCCGGGGCGTGCCCCACTGCCCGGCCCTTTAAGCCTCAGAGTAAGAACCCTTCTAGACAGAGCCTAGGTAGGGAAACATACCACAAAAGACGCAAAAAATGTCAAACATCGTCCCCAGACTATGTTTTGATCATTTTGAATGTTCCCCCTGTAGAGGGACAGGCCCCACTCAATACCAGATGCTGTTCCCAACTCGCTGCCATCCAGGAGCGGCACCCCAGGCGATCGTCAAAGAGGGCCTGCGGCCATGAAAGTTGCGCCCGCGACATCCATGGAGATCCCGAACTCATCCACGAACGCCTGAAGCGCAGGGGGCGAGAGGGGAGGCGAACGCCGCAGGATGGGGATGAGAAAGGCAGGGGCAGGAAGGCGAGAGCGGGAGGAAAAAAGGGGGAATGGGGAGCAGCGAGTCGGATCTGGAAGAGCGGCAGGATCATGCGCGGGAGCGGGAGCGAGAACAGGAGGGTGGCGCAAGGAGATGCATAGCGAGGAAGAGCAGCAGGATCATGCGCCGGGGCAGGAGCGAGAAGAAGAGTGCGGGCGCAGGGAGACACACAGACAGAGAGAGAAGGGCTCCCGTCTGGGCCCCAGAGGGCCCCTTTTCTGCAGCCCTCGCTGCCCCCCCATTCATCGCCCCCCCCCCTAACGCGGCCTCCAGCCTGGTGAACGCTAGTGGGGGGCCACTTCAGGCGGGGATGGGGGGGGGCCATCGAGCTGGAGTCGGTGATACGCCGCCGACAGATCGGCGAGACGGGCCCCCGACAGCGAACCGGCAGGCTCCTGGGCGGGGTGGGGCCATCCGGCCCCTATCGGCGATGAGCGGGCGATCGGAAGCGGATGCACAAAATCTCCCCCCTGAGCCTGTCCGCCCTAGCCTTGCCTCCAGGCTCTCGGGTCGGCACTCGGCTCTCTGGCGGCCGTGCGGGAGCGCAGATCCCCAGGCCGGAGCACCGCCGAGACACGACGAAAGCGCCCGAGAGCCTGGAACCTCGACCCCCTGAGCCCCTCTCCCCCCCGAGCCTGTGCACCCCCTACGGCTGCACGCCCACTCCATGGCACCCACCCACCCGGAGCCTAGCGCCGCCCCTGACGCTGCCCCTGAGCGAGGAGGCTGGCGCGGCGGCGAGACCCGCCCGTGGGGTTGCGCCAGCGGCGAGGCCAGCCGGGGGGGGGGCAGGACACCCAGACCCCCGACCTCATGAGATCTTCATAACGTCCACCCCCAGAGGTCTCGGCCCACTCCCTGGGACCGGTTGCTCATCCTGTTTCGCGACGGTCCCGACGCCCAGTCGTCGGGGTGACGGTGCGGTCGCCCGAAAAGCCTCCCGTCGTGGTTTTTTCATGACGCGAGGGGGTCTGGGCGGAGGGCGGGGATCGCTCGAGAGCGCACGACTCGCGCGGTGTCGCGCACTGGGGCCCGAGTCGTGAGGAGAGCAGGTGACCCCATCGGGGGCGCGAAGCTGCTCGTGCTGCGCGGCTCGCGGTCTTGGGGCGGCGCGGGGAAGCAAGCTGGGCCTCGCGCTCCACGCGGCCACAGGGCGCGAAGCCGTGCGGGCGGCGCAACGTTCGCGGGGGTTGTGGACAAGAGCAAGACTCGGCCAGGAAGAACTGGGCCAGGCTGGACTTGGCCAGCCGCACTCGGCCAGGATGAATGTGGCCCCGGGCCGAAGTCAGCTTGGCGGAGTTCCGCCTGGCCTAAGCTGGCCTGACAAGTTCAGCCTGCCCGAGCTTGGCCGGTCGAGTTCGGCTTGGCAGAGTTGTTCCTGGCCGAGTCCGGCTGCTGCCAGTGAGAGCAGGGGAAGGTGGCGAAAGGGAGTGGGAGGGGGAAGGGGGAGGGGAGAGGGACGCAGGAGAGGAGGGCTGGAACAACACCCTGGAGCCCTAGGGGGCCCACCTCTCGAGGCCCTGCCTGGAGCACCCCCACGAGCCCCCTAGACCACCGCCCTGCCCTTCTCGTCCCCCCTCCTCCGCCTCGAGCTCGGAGGCGGGCCGTGCCAGTGCTGGTCATTGACTCTCGCTAGGGTGGCCCTCCCCCCTCCCCTGGAAGCCGCGTGGACGGCCGAGCAGAGAATCCATTCGGTTGAAACCTTCCTCGACATGTTGTTGACCTGATACGTGCGCGTAACCCTGCAGCTATGACCCACATGTTTGCCTTATGCCACCCCCCTTTATTGCAGAGAATGAGGCAAGTTTTCTCATATCCAACTGCCAACGTCTTGGCCCCGCAATCGCGATGTGTGCGCACCTGCTGGTGGTGTCCTCCCTTTCCTAGAGCTCCTCGACCTCCTCGACCTCCTCATCTTCCGGGTCACTTTTTTCCCCTCCGCGCCTCCTCCTCCTCCTCCTCCTCCTCCTCCTCCTCCTCCTCCTCCTCCTCCTCCTCCGCCTCCGCCTCCGCCTCCGCCTCCTCCTCCTCCTCCGCCTCCGCCTCCCTCCTCCTCCTCCTCCTCCTCCTCCTCCTCCTCCTCCTCCTCCTCCTCCTCCTCCTCCTCTTCCTACTCCTCCCTTCACACCAGTTAAGAATGATATAATCTAAGCGGAAGCATCGCGGGTGCAAGACCCGTCAGCCATCGCTGGCCCAGACAGGCATCTGGGTTCTTCACCCTCTGCAATCTGGGGGGGGGGGGGCTGATCTTTGCGCGGCCATTCTTCAGTCCAGCACTGCGACGACGACGACGACGACGACGATGACGACGACGACGGCGACGACGACGCTGACGACTGCTTTCCGAGAGAGCCAGAAATTGCGAAAACCATGGGTGGAGAACGCTGGAAGCACGACCTCGAGGGCGGGCACGAAGAACTCGTCGCATACGGTGGCTATCGCGAGGAACATGTAGACTATGACGAACACGTACAGCTCGCGCGGCGGGGCGGGGGGGCGGCGACATCAATGACCGACGCGCCATCCATGCCCCTGCTTACGCCCCGGCCCCACGCGAGGGATCTGAGCGGCGGCGTGGATCAAGTTCCTTGGCCTCTGGAGCCACTTCTTTGTATTCGTACCCTGCTGCCTCTGGCGCCCAGTGGGGGACAGCAGCATGGGTATGGATCGATCACCGATCGCCGAGTGGTGCCAGAGGGCAACTTTTGAGAGGTCTTCGCAAAAACTATTGAGGGCTGTTAAGCCCAAGTAATCCGGATTAAGTGGGGGATTACGGTTGGCCTTGGAAGATAGCGTGAAGAATCAAGCTCCGAAAAGTGTGGTATCCTGTGAGGCACCCTCGCGAGGGTCACTTCTGTGAGGGCTTCTTGTGTGCACGTATCCCCAAGGTGGGGGATAGCGTGTAACAAGCGGTCTGGCGGCGCCACATCGAACGCTAGCTTTCCAACGCCAGCCGTAAGCCGAATTCAGCGGGATTGGACGGGATGAAGCGGGAGTGTGCCAGGTAAGGCCGGTTTCAAACCACGGCTGTACCGGCGCAGCCGCTGAATTGAATAGGTGACGACATCCGAAACCTGAAAGGGCGGGGTAGGGTTCGGATTTCGCCACGTGTTCAACGCGTTCCGAACATTACCCCCGCCCCCCGTCGAGTTGCCTGAATTGTTGATCGTCGAGGGCAAGGTTCGGATTTCGACGCCGATGGAACCTCCCAGGAGTTGCACTCCGAAGGGGCGGAGGCTTTCGGTTCGAGCAGGGCACTGCGAACGGCGTGCCTCACATTGTAGGCGGAGTCCTAGCTCATGTCGCACCTTCGGGAGACCTCGTCTGTCCCGTCGCGCCCCTATCCGCATCGAATCCGTGTCGAATCCATGTCGGACTCGTTGCATCCGTGACGAATCAACGCCGCATCCGAGTAGAGGCCGCATCGAGCCCGCGTCGGGCAGAAGAAACGGCACCATCTTTCTTCAGACAGCGACGAAAAGAAACTGGGCCTACGTCACGAGCGGTTAACATATCCGAATCCGCGCCATCGCGGTCTGGATTTCCCGCGTATGCGCGGTCGCACGGATACGCTCCGCGGAGGGCATCGGCGAAAAAACGCCCCGTATCCGCAGCGGGGCGACTTCTGCTGCAACTCATGGAGCCTTCCACGCCATATTGCTGGCTCTTGCGAGTCGAGGCGAATCGTCGCTGATCGACGAATCGACGCTACTCTACGCTCATCGACGCGAAATCGGCGCTTCCTCGTCGGTTCCCAGAAGCTAATCGACGCTAGCGCACTCTGAAAGCGGAATCAAAACGGTACACAACCATTATTCGTTAGCGAAATCAACGCAATGAAACTCGGCTTACGCGAGACGGCATAGCGACCTTGCGCAGCCTACTTGCACAGGACGCCAGCGTGGCACATCGCCTTGAGAAGAGGGCGATTGCGCTTGACCTTACGCGGAAAGCTGACGCGCGAATATCGGCGCAATCGACCCCGCGCTCGTCCGTCACTCACCTGGGCGGTTGACCTGGAAGGGCCCTGAGATCCTGGCGCTGCAAGTTATTTCGCAGCGGCGACGCTGCCTTGATTCGGGCTCAGGGGCCCCGACGGATCGATCCGGCCCCAAGAGTGCCGCAGAACGATGGGAGTGTTGGACTCCGGCTGTGGATGTTCGCGATGGTGCATGTTTTCGCAACGTCGGATCTCGGGGCACCATGGCCAGAAGGGGATGGGGACCGGGTAGACGATACTGAGGAGGGGGGAGGGAGGCAGGGCGTCGAAGTCTGTGCATGTCCACTGCTGCCTGGCCAGGCCCATCCAGAACCCAGCAGCAGTATATGCGCCACACCCTCCTTGCCGTCGCTCGGGCGTCCATTTCCCGTGCATGTGTTCGGTTTCGTGCGTGTTTTTTTTGCTCGATGGTCCGGGATGGTCCTCAATGGTTCTCGCCGCGAAAAAATGCACACGTCCGAGCGATGCCAAGCCTCCTGGCTCGCCCCAGGAGGGCGTGTACACAGCGCCTGGGCCCAGGGAGGGCCCGGGCAGGGGGCAGAGGAAAGGCACGTCGTCGCCCAAGGACGGAGGGGTGCGAGGCAGGGATCGATCCGTGGCGTGGGAGATCGATGGGCGTTTCCAACAGGCAGGGGGGTCAGCGCTTGTTCGCAGTACGCGTCCTTCGATATCCATTGAACCATGAACCTACGACTGGCTTCGATAATGGTATCCTGATGCTTCTCCATCGGAAATCGGCACGCCAGCAGGCTTCCGTCTTGGCCGTGTCTTTTCAAATCCTGAACACATCCTCACTCCTAGCCGCACCTGCGGGTGCCGCGTTCCTCGTCTGCCTCCTCGTCCTCCTCCGCTTCCAGCCAACTCATCCCTCCACGTCATCCCCCCTCACCTTCTTTTGCATGTTTCCCCTGCTCCTCCTCGTATGTACACGGACGCAAGGCGGTTACACTTCAAAGCGGGGCTGTCGCCAGGCGCTTCCGCGTGAGCGTGAAGACCCCACTGTGTCGTATGCCTTGTAGCTCGAAAGACTGAGGCCACTTCCCTTCACAACGGAGCATTTGCCTGCGTTGCGGGCCCATGGGGCACTCGTCTTGCGACTGCCACGCTTCGCGCAGAGAAGAAGACTGCTTGCAGCGACTGGTGAATCGGCGACTTGGAAGGGGAGGGCGCATTGCAGCATCGTTGATACATCTTGGGTCGACTCCTGTCACCCTCCTCTTACTATGTACCTCCAGCCTCACGACATGCCACTCGTGTTCTTCGTGTAACTCCTGATCTCCGCTCGCCCTCCTCCTTTTCTTGTCCCCTGGAGCCGCTGCTCCTCCTTGTTTTGCTGATATTTGTACTCTCTCCTGCTCCTCCTCATTCCTCGTCTGCCTAATCCTCCTCCTCCTCCTCCTCCTCCTCCTCATCCTCCTCCTCCTCGTGCTCCCTTTCCTGGCCTTCCTCATCCTCCTCCTCCTCCTCCTCCTCCTTCAGCTCCCCCTCCTCCTTCAGCTTCTGGTCCTCGTCCTCGTCCTCGTCCTCATCCATCTTCCTCGTCCTCCTCCTCCTCCTCGTCCTCCTACTCCTCCAGCGCGTCTTCCTCCTTCTCATCCCCCTCCTCCTCCTCCTCCTTCTCCTCCTCCTCCTCCTCCTCATCCTCATCCTCATCCTCATCCTCATCCTCCTCATCCTCGACCTCGGCCCATCCCCGCGCTGCCGGAATACGCCACCATCTATCGCTGTTCTCCTTTAGCCGTATGAGATCATCCTCGCCGGTGCGGGTGCGCGAGGGGGAGGGGAAAGGGGCAGGAGGAGCGGGAGAACAGTGCTTTGTTGCTGTTGAGCTCTCGCACTTCTGAGGCGAGAATCATGACTACTGATCCAGCCTGACCCGTACACATTGAGTTTCAGTTGGAGTGCCCTGCTCCAGACGCTCGCACCCTCAGGCAGGCTCAGACTGCGGTCCTGGAGATCCCGACCACAACAGAGGGCGCCAGCAAAAGCGTGCTTACCACTCTCGTGCTGTTTTGTGTTTGTGTTACGTCGTGTTGTCTTCGTCCCGCCTGTGATGCAACAACGTAATCGAGACGGAAACGGCCCATGCCATTGGCGAAGTATCGTTCAGCCCAGGCCACGCTGCTACGACGGCGGCTCCAGCCCAGGACTCCCACACAGGGCATTCAGGAATCGCGCTCACGCCGCTGAGGCGCCGCGCTCATTCGGCGGAACTTCCTCGCAGTGCATGCCAGAATCGCGTTCTCGCCAATCGTCAAGTACACTTCTGCCCATGGAGGCCTCCAAGAATGGGGCCCAATTAGATGGACTGGGAGGATCGCGCCCTCGCCGATCATTGAGTACACATTTCGACCAGAGAGGCCTTCTAGATGGGGTCTCGAGTGCATGGGGTCGGAGGCGCAGATGCAGCGGTCATGCATCGGCGGCGTGGATATTCCGGAGAGCCGCAATCGTGTTAAACATACAACTCAAACATGAGAGCGCTCAACGACTCTTTACGCAACATGCATTCATCATGATAGCTCCCCATTTCATGATGGAAATATGCTGTGCTTCGGGGGGAAGCATTTTCCCGTATACCCAGACATCCCACCCTAACATTTTCTGCAATGCCTCTCACGTGGCACGGTGCAGTCTTCAGCTCTCAAATATTTGGGGCCTCTTTTGGGCCCTCTTGGCGCACTCTGGGGCCGTCTTGGGGCTCTCTCAGGCCGTCTGAGGGCCTCTCGGAGCGCCCTTGGAAACTGTTTGGCGCGTCTTCGGGACCCCTTGTGGCGCCTCTGCTGCAAGGGCCTTTTTCGGAACTGCTCTCGGTGGAGCATTGGCGGGAGGAGCTGGAGCTGGGCGGATCAGTACTGCATTCTGATGTCCACGTCCGAAGACCGTCTGATAGCGTTATCGAACACAACTTAACAAAGTCATAAAACCTACCACACACACACACACAAATATATATATATGTATATATATATATATCCACGAAGCCATAGAACCGAACACAATTAAAAAAAATAACATCTTCATCAACATCGTCGCCGACACCCTCCTCAACAGCTGCATTGACATGTGCATCAACGTCTGCGTCAGCACTTGCACGTACAAAGACGGACGGCCAATCATCAACCAGACCGTTGGGTACTACTACCAATGCTCCTACTACTACGGTTACTACGACTGCGCCTACGACTACGATTACACTACGATAACGACATCGACTACGAATACCACTACGACGACGACGACAACGACGACGACGGCGACGACGACCACTACGACTACGACTACAACGACTCCTATGACTACGACTACAACGACGACTACGACTGCGACGTAGACGACGACGACGACGACGACGACGACGACGACGACTACTACCACTACTACGACTACTATTACCACTACCACTACAACTACTACTACTACTACTAGTACTACTACTACTACTACTACTACTACTACTACTACTATTACTACTACTACTCCTACTCCTACTCCTACTACTACTACTACTACTACTACTACTACGATTACAACTGCGCCTACTACTACTTCTACTTCTACTACTACTACTACTACTACTACTACTACTACTACTACTACTACTACTACTACTACTACTACTACTACTACTACTAATTCGACTACGACTACGACTACTACTACTACTACGACTACTACGACTACTACTACTACTACTACTACTACTACTACTACTACTACTGCTGATGCTGCTGCTGCTGCTGCTGCTGCTGCTGCTGCTGCTGCTGCTGCTACTGCTACTGCTGCTGCTGCTGCTGCTGCTCTACACTACCATAGTCTGGCTAGGTACGGAATTACGACCGCTGCCACTCTCATTCGCGCGCGACGGTTTGTCCTCGCCCTCCGCGCCGTACCCCACTTCTAGGTGGCTAATGGGCAGCATCAAGAAGACGGACAGGTCGCTTAGCCGCTGGTCCTGAGGCAAGGAGGGGGAGGCAACAGAGGAACAAAGAACGGCATCAACCTGACATTTCGACATTTTGGAGCTCCGCGCGGATGTATTGGATCGGCGCTGGGCCCCCCTCCGCGAAGAGCTCCGACAATTAATGGGTATATAACTTGTTATTCGAGCCCAACGGACGGTGCAAGCAGGCAAGCGGGACGTACTTGAAGCCATGTTTTTCTCAGGGTCTGTCTGTTCACCCTCAATGCAAGTGACGCACGGCCCTGGGCCAGGGCGGGGGACAGGGTGAGAACGGGTAAACACCCCTGACGTCCCATAGCACGCCTAAGAATATCCTGGCGAAAGACCCAACGATAGGCAGGTGTGAGTACCGCGTAATGGGTAGCGGTTTCGGTGGAGCTCCCTGTTGGACCGCGATCCTCGCAAGGGGTGTACCGAAATGGGTGCGGTAGGCAACACCCGATCAGAAGGCTCGGAAGTCCCCCCGCCTGCTGAGAGGTGTTCGGAGCTTTCCCCGGAGACGCACAGAGCTTCTCAGAAGCCGCGAGGGCTTCCGAGAAGTCCCGCCGACATCTGAGAGGGCCTTCTCCTTCTCGCTTCCCCCCCTCGCTCGCCGCCGCCGACCCGTAACAGTAGGGGCCAGTTCACAAGAAACCTTCCACAAGAAACCCAACTCTGAGACCCCAGGACGTCCGGATGTCTGGTGCGGGAACGTCACGTTTTCCATAGCAAAACCGTCGAAACCCAAGAAACCCAGGTCACCCTGGAGGCAAGCAGGGTGTTTCTTGGCATGGGTCTCCACAGTGTGCACGTGTCGTTGGCCACGACTCCGTCGAGGCTTACGACGACATACAGCCTCGCCAGGCGACAATATCACGTGCTCGTCTCGAGGTGCGGGCGCCGCCACTAGAAGGCGCCGATCCCTCGCCCTCGCTGTCTTGCTTCGTCTTCTGGTTGGTGGGCTGACGAGGTCCTCTTCAGGGCCTTGAGGATCCTCTTGGGGTCCATCGGTGAAAAGGGAGGCCGGTTTCAATTACAGTCAGTCCCCCCCTCTCGGGGCGCTCTCGGGGGCGTCTTGGGCACCTCTGGGGGCTTTCTTGGGAAAGATTGGAGCCATCTTGATTGAGGCCTCAAGAGTCGATCGGAAGCGAAAGGCGAGAAGACAGAACACGTTGGTTTCCCCTAAATGTTGAAAGGAGTTTGACCTCTCGGGGGGTCAGTGGTGGGCTCCGTGGCTTCGTAGAGCCGTCGTTCAGCAGTCGTGGCGACTCTTGGAGGCATTTGGAAACTGTAGTGAGCCATATTGGGCAATCTCGTTCGATCTTGGAGGCCATCTTGGGCTATCTGGGTCTATGTTGGACGCTCTAACGCTTGGCGACCAGGCCGTCCAGGCCCAAGGAGCGGGGGTAGGGAAAGAGGTCAAGACACCTCTCCCAAACGCAAACTGTCTGGCTCACTCCCACTCGCCCTCTCAACACATCACATAAGTAGTACCCGAGTCTCAACACGTCCAGCGGTCGACTTTGGATGGACCGCTACTGGGAACCAATACAGACTCCAGGTGCGATGGGGCAACGTGCACAACGCGTGGCACCACGCGCACCAGGCGCGCCAAGCGCCACTGGGGCCCAAGCGTGCCAAGCACGCCTGGTGCGCCAAATGCGCACCATGCTCCACGTGCGCCAACTGTGCCGCATGCTCGAACCGCGCCAGGTGCGCCACGTTCGGGGCACGCGCAGAGTGTGCCAAGTGCGTCCGTGCGCATCGGGAAAGATGTCGATCCCCCACCATCGCACAATCGCGGCGGAGTGGCCATCAGGTTGCCTGGGGCTGGAGGGCCTGTACTCAGCGTGCGATATGCCAGCACCCAACCTTCCCTGTCAAAAGCCAGTGCCATGGGATTGCGGGGTGCCCGCGCACGATCCAGGTTTCGCCGCGAAATACAACGCGTATTGGTTTAGCAGTGGTGGTGGCCCTGCACGCAGCAGGCGGCTGGCACTCCCGCCGGCCGCGCCAAAATGCAATGCCAAGTGCCCACGGCCCCCCCGAGCATGATCAAAGATTTTGCCGTCAAGTGCCCATTGCAGTGGTTTTCGACAGGGATGGCGGAGGGGGCCTCATCGGCCCTGGTTTGTCGCCGGTCGTGCGGGGGAGGGGGTGTATTCGTAAGGAGGAATGATAGAGAGCTCTCCCCGAAGGGGAAGAAAGAGGTTGGAAGATCTAACTCGTCAAATCGCCTACGCCCCAAAAGGCTGGTGGGCTTTGCCGTTCTCCTCGGCTCTCGCGAGACCTATCCACACCTGGGGGTGGGGGGATGACGCGGCCGAGGCACCCCGACCCCGTGGGGATGGAATCGCGGAACCGCGCCCTGCATAGTCGAACTGGCCCCAGGTAAGGGGAGGGCGGCGTCCTGCGCGCAGGCAAGCGGGGCGGGCCCACTTGCAGCAGCTGAAAAAAGCATGGCGCACTGAAACGACCTTCGTCGGGCGCAGGCGAACCTGGCTCGGCGCAAACCCAGCCCAATCAACTTAGAAAAAACTGCGCAAATCGTGTCTGCGGGGCTTCCCAAACCCGGCTCAGCCAATATGCAGGGCCACCTCCAGGGCCCCAACAGGGTCCCAAACCCGGCTCAGCCAAATCCGGCTCTGCAAGATCCTGCAAGATCTGGCGCTCTGCCTGAGCTCCATTTGCGCTGAACCCCACTACCTGCCAGCAGTCTTCGGGTTTTGCCCACTGCTCTGGCTATGAGGTGCTGGGCTATACGCGGCAATCGTCGTAGCCCCCCGTTCCCCAGACGCCCCCTTCGGCTCCGCGGGGTCTCCGCGGCTCTCCAGGAGGCCCCCGCTGTGCCCCTGGAAGCCCCCCCAGAGGCCTCCCCAGGCCAAGGCAAGGCCGGAACCGCACGGGAACATCGATCCTGGGTCGCACCTCCTGCCGCCACCCTTCCTCCTCCTGCGGATCGCTGATGCGGCCGAGGGGCCGCTCCACGGGGGCGGGACCGAGGGCGCCCGGGTGCCGGAGTTTGGGTGGTCCTGGAGGGGGGGGGGGCCACCCTGCCCCTTGCACGTGGCCTCCCGGGCCCGGGCTGGCGAGGCTTCAGCCCTCCGACACCTCCCCCTGCCTGTCGCCACAGAGCACTTGCCGATCCTCCCGCGGCTCGCCCGATCCTCGCCCCCGCTGCTGTCTGCAAGCTCCGAGTCGAGCCCCGGGAGCGAGCGACGACGCTGGAGTCCTCGCATGCCTGCTCCTGCGCCGTCACCGCCTGGCACTCCGAGTAACTCGCGGCTGTCGCGAAGCTCGAGGCTGGCGCTGCGCACACATCCGACAGCCTTCGAAGCGGCAGCTTACCTCTACTGCTGGCACATGTCCTCCTCATTATCATCATCCTGAACTTGTCAGTCCTCCGCGTCCTCACACTGTATCACTGTTGGTATTACTACTCCTAATTAACCAGATCGGACGACGACGGCGGCGGCGATGACGACGACTACCACTCACCTACTACCACGAACACGACTGCGACTGCTAGTAGTAGTGGCACTGCTACTACTACTACTACTACTACTACTACTACTACTACTACTACTACTACTACTACTACTACTACTACTACGACTACTACTACTACTACTACTTATACTTAGACGTATACTTATAATTATACTTATACTTATACTTATACTTATACTTATACTACTACTACTACTACTACTACTACTACTACTACTACTACTACTACTACTACTACTACGGCTACGACTACGACTACGCCTAGTACTACTACTACTACTACTACTCCTACTACTACTACTACTACTACTACTACTACTACTACTACTACTACTACTACTACTACTACTACTACTACTACTACTACGACTCCTACGACTACGACTACTACTACTACTACTACTACTACTACTACTACTACTACTACTACTACTACTACTACTACTACTACTACTATTACTATACTACTACTACTACTACTACTACTACTACTAC